TAGGTTCTTTACAAAAATCTTGTAATGACGATCCTAGATTCAAGGTGTCAAGTATTGCACTCGTCAGTTCAAACGATGAATAGAGCTTCCCTTCATTCCATTTCGACGCTGATGCAAGCATACAGAGTGTAGACTTCGTCGCAAGGCTGGCCAGAGCGTTATTAATGTACAGACAGTAACTACTAGTACTAGTAACTGTACTTCGAAGTACGAGACTGCAATTGCGTACCCCTCCCCCAATGTAGTACTGCACGTCAACATTAGGGCGGAGATGAGGCTAGTCAGACACGGACCAGCTGAACTGGCTTGAAAAAGTGAAATCCTTCCTGAGTTCTTGATGATTCTTAGCATTACTGCATAACTCCATGAAACATACAATGTATAATGTATGTATGCATTAATTCAGCGTATACAATATACAATGTACATGTCTGACAGCATCTTTCTTTTTTTTTCCCCTTTTAGCTTGCCGTGGTTGGCTATCACCTGACCTCTCATGTTTATTGGCAGTCTTCGGACGGGCCAGGAGATGTTGAATAAATAAATAAATAAATAAATAAATAAATGTATATGTACCGGTACATGCAACATACTTTTTCACGTGCACAAATTCACGGCCAGACCCTACTTGAAGGGCGAATCCACTGGGGAAACAAAGGGTGGAGATGGCGCCCACTGAAATAGCAGCAACATAATACATGTACATGTAGCCGGTCACCATCTTTGTAACTGACCACCACAACACAAACACGCAAACGCAGAAAGACAGTCAGTCAGAAACATACAGAAACAGACAGACAGACAGACAAACAAACAGATAGAGAGACAGACAGACAGACGGACTAGCAGCAAAGCAGCATTTTTGATTCGTCCAGTTGTAGTACGACGGTAGACCGGCATGTCCAATAGTATTACCACAATCTAGTTTCTTCATCATCCAGCGACATTCGGCATTCCTTGCTGGCGTGGGGCGTAGCCCGTGCTCTTCTTCGTTGATCTTTCCTTCCCCTCATTGGACATTTCCTAACCTGAGCCTTCCTAGTTAGTTGGAAGGTGTTTGGCTCGTGCCTCGTAGATGTGTTGGAGCTGCTTCGAAGTACACTACACTCTCATGTTCATGTACATGTACATGTAGGTGTCTGGTCGTTGTACAATCATGTACGTGACATACATGACATACATGTATATCAGTACTCCTTGTCACTCATGTGCCTGGTTGTGGCACTCGCTGAGTGACTGTATAGGATCTGGTCCCTTTCATGGTCAGTCCGTAAGAATAATAATATTTTCCTTCACCTAATCCCTGATTATATTAGCTCTCATCAACCGAGTTCATTATATTTATAAATGTTTCTACCTTTGTTTAAATGTATCTTGCAGCGAGTCAACAGCAGTGTAAACAGTATAATACCATAATTCACCCTCACTCTTCCCGCACCGCATGCGCACCTAGTATCTCTGCCCGTTAATTTATTTGTTTGACCCCGCAAAGGGCTCCTTCCTATGAAAAGACCGAAGCGTCTGTCAGGGCCTCCCTATCCAATACCAACAAATAGTACGGCAACTATTGGAATCAGATATTCCTCAGCCATTACCAGTAAACTTCCCGCGGGGATATTGATCCAGACCTTTGACATACAGTGTACATGTGCATGTACATGTACATGTATTATGTTGAACAAGCCTCTTATATGGGCAAACACGGAACATGATATCACTGGCCTGACACAACAACTAAAGATAAAGCAAAGCAAAACAAACAAAAAAGTTAAATGAAAATAAAATGAAACTTGACAATCTGCACACAATGACAACTCCATTTTAAAGATAGTCTCTGTTAGATCAGACTGTATCCGTTACCCGTGTTCGCTACATGTAAATGTAGTTGCCAACAAGCCGGGGTTCAGAAACAGGAGCATGTGGAGAGGCGTTATCCATCCCCCTATGACAAGGAAATGGTGAGCGCCCCCCCCCCCCCCCTGCAGACATATAATATTGGCACGCAGTAAAGCAAAGGCCAGACGGCTCCGGATAAGCGAGATATGGATATGATTTCCCAAGCGATCTCCGCTCCTCCATGAGGACAGCCAGCCGTCGATAGAACGCAGTATATGTACATGTAGAAACAACTATCCCTTGAGCTACATTGTATCAAATCCTCCTAAAACTGTGTAGGATTTTTGTTAATTCTTCAGTATTTATGATCATATTACCGCCCGAGATGTGGTTTTTGTATAAATTACACTGTAAGGTGGCTGTACAGCTTCAGTTGGCTCTCTCAGAAGTGTTCAAAGTTCAGTATTTTTACTTGACCTGTAGCGACGTTCTAGTGAGGACAGGAAACCGTTACATGTATTCCGGTATGAGTTGAGTTTCTGCTTTTTAAACGTTTTTCTGAGTGTTGTGATAGTTGCACCATGATGACAGGGTTAGTAATAACGAAGAGCAGAAGAAGTACAAAGAGGCTATGAAGATGTGTCTGTGATTGATGAAGAGTGAGTGCCGCCACAAGTTGGCTTATCCAAGACTAGCGCAACGGAAAGTACACTGGAATTGTCTTACCAGCTAGATGTTTCCTGCATGACTCACGAGTGCACGGGGAAACCCCTTATGACCAATTTTGTACAAATTCAGTAGGTTGCACAGTACATCAAAGATCAGATATCCAGATATCGATGAAGAAGAGACTATACTTGTTTCTAGGTTAGCCCTGGGTTGATCTCTCTCAGAGAATGAACCTACATCCTATTCAGGGTATTACGTATCTGTCCTCAACCCTGGTGTATCTCTGTTTGCAGACGACACTTGTGTGCTGCGCCTTAGTGCCTCTGTTCCCCGTCTTATACTGGATTTTCAAACGGGCATCACGGATGTCACTTCGTGAATGACATTGTGGAAGCTTAAACCTAACATCGGGAAGACCAAGGTATTGATCATTCCCCCAGGGCCACTGTCTACTACTCTCTACTACCCTCTCCCTCTCCTAGTATTCCATTTCTCCACCACCCCCATGGAATATGTGCATCATCACAGACATCTTGGTGTCCTTCTTGATGCCAATCTTTCCTGGAATCACCATGTTGCCCTCGTATGCAAGAAGACTAGCCAGGCCATAGGTACAATATACTCACATCGCGCCCATCTTCCTGAAAGCTGTCGTGCTCTGGTTTATACTGGATATAATATCTTGCCACATTTAGACTACTGCTGTACTGCCTGGACAAATCTATCTACAGCCCAAGAGCAGAAATTGGAAATTCACAATCGATCCCTCCATAAAGATTCTTTTAAAATCATATGACCAAGTCCCTTTCCAGTGAGGCTCTCTATGTTATCCTCGACCAGACCTCTCCTTAAGAGACGGCGAATCCTGATGTGCTGTCTTATCCATCATATTCTACTTTCAAAAATATCTCCGATGTTTCAAACAATTTGACTGGTTTCGACAGGATAGCTCCACTACTACGGGCACTAGGAACCAACTCTCCCTTCCTCTAGCCCGCTCTTCTGTATTGCAACACTCCTCCCCCTCCCCATTTTCAATGGCCATTCGCAGTGGCTTTTCAAGCGGCTGCACCAGCAGACCAAGACTGTCAAGAGCCCTTTTACTTTGGCAGCATTCAGGAACGCCTTGCTTTAGAGCACAATTTTAGCCCACTGATATTTGCTACATTTTAGTCCGTATTTGCCTTTTCCTTTCTTCTTTTCCATTCATTTTCGACTTCTTACTCTTTGCTAGCCGTGGTTGGCTATAAAACAAAACCTGCAATCGCCACCCAAAGTGGTCATTGGCTACCCCAGCAGTGTATTGCTAGGAATAAAACTAAACTAAAACTAAAATGTAGGCTGTTCTTGACTTGGCTGATCGGATTTGCTTCCAAGAGTATTTCGATCCACGAGCGATGACATCCCGATAGGGCAGAAATGGCTCAGGTTTGAATCCAATGCCCAATACTTGCACCCAGTGAGTGAAACAAATACAAAAATACAAAATACACTCAGAATGTATCATAAGAAGTACGCTGCCTATTGCAGATGCGTCTTCAAGGATTATGATTTTCTATTTTATTTTATTTTACAAAAACCACTATAATGCCTGAGTGTTACCAATTTCTTCTACATGTACATGTACATGTGCAGCTGCATGTAGAGAACACTCGACACCTCGTGGATAGAGATAATAATTATTATTACATGTATTGTATTTTCACAATATCCTGCAACTCCAACACACCAGAGCTAAAGGTTCGATGAAGAATTGCACGGCACCATCCGTGCCATTCTTTTTCGGGAGATAGAGAGCAAGAGGCGTGGTGAGAAGCTGTGGTAACGGAACCGTCGCCTACTACATGTACATGAAAGCGAGTGCATAATATATATTATCATGATTATGTCCCACGGCAACAATGAATGTCGATTGCTACAGGACGATGACGAGACCAACTTGACAATGCGGGCTTACTAGAATTCGAAGCACCAAAGCAACATACATGTACATGTACCACCCAAATTGTGTCAAAGATATACAGAAGGGAAAGCTTTGCAAAAACGAATTGTACAAACCCGAACGTCTATATCTAGCGGTACTTCTCATGCATGACAATATTGTGGACGTGTCTGTCAGTTTTGTGCGTAGTTATCGCACTTTATGACTGCTTACCATCTATTCCTGTTACTATAGTATAGTGGTGGACAGTTACTCAAAACTCGTACCCATGCGTCCTTTCTTATTATTACATTTTACTTTTGGCTCAGAACCTGAGTTCAATTCTGTACATTCATAATATCACAGAACAACAATGGCAATCAAGGCTTGTTTGCTGCTACTCAAAGTTTCATGCTTTGGCAATCATCAGGCAACTGCGAAAGCATGAAACTGTGAGTAGCAGCAAACAATCCTTCATTGCCCTTGTTGTCCTGTGTATTACGCTTTGCCTCCGCCATGGTGTTGAGCACTGTCAGTACACTGGGCACATCCTCCGGGAGCTTCATAATAATAATAATAATGACAGTTCGCATATCACTCATTGCATGAGGTCAACGCATCTGTTGACAATTTCGAGCCAAGCAGCTCTATCAGAAGCAGATTGCACAGCATCCAGAAGCGAGAGATTAATGCATTGTAAGTCTTTCTTGACAACGTCGATCCATCTCAGACGTGGTCGTCCGCGGGGTCGTCGTATTCATAATTCATAATTATTATAAATATTACATGTGTATGACTGTAAATACAGACTTTCACGCAGGAAATATGAAGATGTTAAAGAATGATGTATTTTGACCTAACCAGGAGTAGGAAATACTAGAATAGACTACAACAACTGGTGTAGAATAAATCTTTGGGAATGAGGTAGTACACGTATCATTTACCAGGGCTGATGTGGCTGATATCTCAGTGTAAAGGAGGATGAGGTAATGATGGCGTCTAGTGGTGATGCGCAGTACTGGAGCGTGTGCATTTAGTTCTCATGTCCTGGATAGACAACTCTGTACAGCAGGTAGATCTACCAGTGGCAATAGAAAACATACATGTACATTATTATACATGCATAGTCCATCTTACAATCAGAGAATGGCAGGTGTGCAAACTGATCGCCATTGTGTGAGATTAGGTGTGCCCGCTCTACTACATGTAACTCCTCGAGACTTCCTTCTCGCGCCGATGGTGGGCAACACAGGGATCCAGCTGTTGCCTTGAGATAGCATTGCAAATAATTGCAATGGCCAGGTAAACGACGGTTGGTTGCGCTGTGTGCGGGCGGGTCCACTGAAGAATGTGCAGAGCCTAGCCGCGCAGTGAGAAGAGTCAAGTGTGAACCGATCACCTGTCCTTAGACTTGGACGGCCAGCGGCAGTGGCTGTACTCCATGCAGTGTACCAGAGCTTGCAGAGTCACACCATGCAGCTACAATGTAACTTTGTTACTTGCAAGCTGCATTGATAACGTGGCGATGTCGCTGAGATGAAATGAACCTAACGACAAACACAGAAGAAAGAACCTCGCTTATTATTGAATTCTGCCAAGTACGGAGTGTAGAGCGATCGAACATGCTCTACACGTACACATTGTTTCTAGCACGCTGGAATGAACAGTACAAGTGGCATAGCCAGATCACGCATGTCATAGCAGACAATGATTGGCATTTGTTAGCAGCTGGAAGAAACTTCAAGAAAGGAAATAAAATAGTTCCGTGTTCTACACAGTGACTGTTGGAATGCATCTGAGAGATCAAGTAACGTTAGTTAGATTAATCATGCAGCAAAACACCATGGTCCTCCTTGCCATACCGGATAAATTTTAATGTACAGTACAAGCCATGGTGCGCATTTCGCTTTGTCACCGTACCTTGAGAAAAAATGTTTTGCATTTTTCAGATATTCCATTCGGAATTCCTGCGCAGAGTCTGACTCTGCAGCTCAGCTGGGCGATGATTTCGCCTCCAACACGATCAGTGAGGTAGAGCCGGACGGATGAGGCACAGACGATCACGGGTTCTGCATGGCATCCTCCTCACAACCTGCTGGCCGCATGCTTTTACGTCGCAAGCTGCATGCCCTTTAGAGATGGATGAACAGAATGATAGACAAAACAATTATGAAAGGTGTTATCGTTACCTCGTAGTCTTGCCGGGATACCTGTTGAATCAACAGGATCTCATTGCATACAAAGGTTTTATAGCAAACCCCATTTTGGTCTCGGTGTCGACGTACCAATAGTGCCCCAAGACCTCTTCCAATACTGCAAAGTTCCACTGAGATGACTCTATACATACATACATGTACATGTAACTGAGATGGCTCTACAATATAAGGGGACCATTAATAACACCTCTGCCAGGTCTGCTATGTGCAATGTACATGTACATGTACATGATTGTACATGTATCTAGTCCGATTAGTCCGACTAGCGCTATAGCGGCATAAGCAGAGGTGGGGTCGTGCAATAGGACAGCTAGCAGAATACCGCGGGTGCCTTGTCGCCGCAGGGCAAAACCAAGGGACACACATTGTCATGACGGCAGATAGTGACAGGTGAGACCTTTGTCTTAGTGCGACAATCCAGCGTCCCGCTTGATATCATTGAGCGAAACCAGTCAAGTACAGAGCTAGAATACAAAATAATATGCATGTCGATGTGCATTATGCATAGTCATTGTACATGTACGTTTCACGGTTTGGTAGCCAGAAGGCTGGGCGGAGGGCTTGGGCGCATCTGTACGCAAACCTGATTTCTACGGTGTTGTGCATTTGAGGTTTGGATGGCAGGCAACGTGCAGGATCGTTTGTGGATCATGTTTGCATTCGCCTGAACCGTCAGCTTGGCAAAACATAGTGGTGGAAGACACCCTGAGTGGTCGCGTATAGGTTGAAAACTAGTCGAGTGTGTGTGGGTGGGGGGGGGGGGGGTGATAGGGCAGATGAAGAGCTTCTGTAATCTGGGAGGGGCCAAGATGGGTCGGTGGAAATCAGCTACATGCACCTGTAAAAATAGAAATGATCCCGTTGAACCTTCGATGAGAGCTAATAGTGCTCTAGTCTAGTACACACACACACACACACACACACACACACACACACACACACACACACGCACACACACACACACGCGCGCGCGCGCGTGCATGCACAAGTGCTGCAGAGTTTGAACAACTGGTAACGAAGGTGCGGAGGTGCACGGAGGATACTGCATAGGTGCAGAGAGTCCCATCCCTCCCCTGAGATACACGCCTTTGCAGACATGGAATTCTGAATGAACATATTTTATTCCGACCATTGTATTTGGTTATTTCAACATATTTGCGTTTTATCCTGCATTTCAATCGGCGATGGAAGCGGACCACTGGCAATGTGGCAAATATTCATAATTCAACGTTTACAATATCGCACGTGTACAATGTAGTACAGTGTATGCACATGTAAGCTGATTGTTGTATGCTCGAACTCGTCTTATTCAAAGTTCTGTCTCGCACTGATACAATACATGTAGCAGAAGTTGCGAGTGAATCAGCCATTATCAGGTATCTCGGGGCTGACTAGATGAGTAGATATCGACGGGTAGTCATGGTACGAAGTCATGACCTTTGTATTTTAGAAGCCATGGCTTTGCAGGCTACACTCTCATTGACAAAAATGCGCCCATGTGAGATAAAAATGAGCTTTTTGGGCCTACATTATACATGTAGCCCTTGGCGGATTATGCTCGGAAAATTGCTGAATTATGCTTCCCATTATGCCAGTGATTATGCCAGTGATTATGCCAGTGATTATGCCAGTGATTATGCTACAGCCTACAGTATGCTGGAATTATGATGGTGCTATACTATGCTGCGGTCCAATCTAATGGTTTGGTGAACTCAGTACAAACAGCCCTTGGCAGATTATGCTGGGTAAATTGCTGAATTATGCTTTCCATTACGCCAGTGATTATGCTACATGTACATGTACATGTACATGTACATGTACAAGATGCTGGAATTCTGCCAATGATGGTGCTATAATACTGTACCCTTGCACTCGTGTTGCACTTTGCAACGTTACAACGACTCTGGTACCATGACAGCATGCAAGCACGGCTTATAAGGGGTAACATTTACCAGGTTATTGCTTAAATATTTATTTATTTAAAGAGTCGGCGTGGAGAAAGCAATTTTATTAGTGCAATAAAGAGTATAATAGATGCAGACATGGCCAGACAACAACGAGTTCATGGAATTTTTAAGGATTTTTATGTTATTTAAAATCGATTTTCGTGTTCCGCTCATCAGTGAATTGTATCGGAACTGAGGGTACTGTGTACAAAAAAGAACATTTTATAACAGCATGATTAAAAGTGTGAACAAAAAAGGAAGTGCTACAGCATTACATAATAGGTGTCAAACATGATAGTGCTAACATATAAAACATACTTTGCTGCCCACTTCATCCCCGTGTTCACCACGGTACGTGCGTTCATGGTGAGGAAGGATGTCCCACCTCCCCAGCTTTCAAGCCATTTGGCTTATCTCTTTGAGTGCCGGAATTGTGCTGCCCGGTACGTTGGTAGGACTCTTCAACACCTGAACGCACGTATCAGACAACATGTGCCGTTGCACTTATTACCACCAGCAGCCAGAGCAAAGCGGCCAAAGCGTGGTAGGCCGTGTAAGAACCCAGTTAGCTCAGTAGACAAACACGCTGTGCCGATAGCGCCGCCTGTTCCCGTGCCACCACCGGCCCCACCACCTGGGATGCCGTGGGTGGCTGGAGCTGGGGTGGGTTTGCCATCATTGACCTGGCCACCACTTCTCGACCCACGGCGAACAGCAGCGGAGCCTACTCTAGCACAACATCATCGTCCTGGGATGGGGGAGGGGCCACCGAGGGACACTGAACCCTCACCTCGGCGGTTGCCCTTGCCTCCGCCTGAGCCACCCCCTTTACCTTTGGTGACTACCGAGATGGTGGTCCCCCCGGTGCTGGGATCCACGGTTCCGACTGTGTCTGGACAGAGAGGGAGATCATCGACAAACCAAAATGAACCCAATATCCTTACCCATAGACCCAGAAGAAGCACAGCTAACTATTCACTTGAAATTTATGCACGGAATGGACTTGGCCCACGCAAAATGGACAGTGGAAATGGGTGTGTAGTAGCAGAGAACCCAGCAACGGTGACGCGGAGCAGCGGTCAAACGACTTGTGATGCTGGTGGAGATGGTGGAGCCATGTTGGAGGCTGATAAGGAGTGCAGTGAGACTGAGCATCAGACGGATGATGAGGAAGTGACTGATGATGATGATGATGGTGGTGATGAGGACGATGATGATGAATGGTCTCGTTTTTTGAAACATTTGGTATCGCTTGTTGTTGAGAAAATCCTGAGTTACATTATTCTGTAGTCATGGGACAACTTCGATGTGTATTGTCGCTGTGTTTGCTCCGCTGGTGTATTACTTGCATACGTGGTTCGCGGGCATCATACAAGCGCCAGCGCCACAGCTTTTTAACAAGCTGCCATACCCTTAGAGCACAGTGATGTGTACGGTGTCTTTAAAAGTTTTTTATGTTTGTTCTTTTATTCCATTATGAGGTCTTCTCCGATTGGTGGCCCCATGCTCATTGTGTTCAACTGCACGTTGCGTTTCTTTTTATATTGAGTTCCAGTGCACTTTGTATTCATTTTCCTCTCTTTTTTCATTCTATTTGAATTTTGATGTATTGCGTTTTTGCTTGCCCGTACAAGAGGCTGTTCAAATGATGAAGATGAGACGGAGGACGAGGAGATGAGGCGGAGGAGGTTGAAGGAAAGGAGCGGGATGAGACGGAAGAGAGCGACGTGAGCAAAACGTCAGCTGTATTTTGTCACTTGTTATCACGTCCAGATTGTCTTTGTGTGTACGATGATTCTCACTTTTCTGTTTTGTGCCGTGCAAGTTATGTTAAGCAGTTGAAGGTTCTGGAAGCTGTATGTATTCGTTTGCATAATCCTGTTCTTTGTAAACAAAAGAAGCATGTAGTCGCGCTAAAGTTGTTCTCGTAGCTGGTTATCAGATGTACATGTAAATGTCGTGTCATGTTGCAGTGTATCACCTCATGCTTTGTGCCTGCACTCAGTATTATGTTAGCACTATCATGTTTGACACCTATTATGTAATGCTGTAGCACTTCCTTTTTTGTTCACACTTTTAATTATAAATTTAAATAAATTTCACGGTTCGCGTGAGACTCGGCTCGAAGCCCAGTTTTCCGCATCCGTCATGGGAACGCCACCACCCTCTAGGATCAATTTAATTATGCTGTTATAAAAATTTAATGTTCTTTTTTGTACACAGTACCCTCAGTTCCGATACAATTCACTGATGAGCGGAACACGAAAATCGATTTTGAATAAAATAAAAATCCTTAAAAATTCCATGAACTCGTTGTTGTCTGGCCATGTCTATAGTAGTAGTAGTATTTATTTTATTTACCATTGGATGCCTCAACAGTGATACACACAACTCTTAAGAGGGCCGATAACGGGGTAAGTGGAAAGGAAAAGAAAAGAAAAGAAAAAAATAGAAAAATTGGAATCCAGACATCAAGCAGTACAGTAATCAAACACCAAGTCAACTTCAAGCGTAGTACAAGAAATATCAAGATCATCGAGAAACTCAACAGATTCCAAAAAGAAGGTCAAAATACTTCTTAAACGCCACTGGGTCTTTAAAAAGATCCCTGAGATGGTTTGCAAATGTAGAGGTACGGTGGTGTCTGCGCCACTCGGCAGGCAGTGTATTAAAGAAAATTGCGGCACGATTAGAAAAAGAATTTACTCCATCAGTTGTCCGGTGCTTAGATATGGCAATGGAAGCATTAGAGTGGCTTCTAGTTCTAAGTGTCTGCATCTATTATACTCTTTATTGAACTAATTTATTTATTTATTCAACATCTTATGGCTTCCAATGGCAGCCAAAACGGGAAGATGTGGGTGATAGCCAACCATGGTAAAAGAAGGAGAAGATTATATACATGAAAAGGAAACAGCCGAAAGCTATATTGATTTGTTTATTATTATTATGGTGCACTCAGTCATCA